CTAAAGGTCGGATAAACAAGTAAATCATAGCAGCGCATAAAAAATAGACTATTAAAAACTAAGCTAACAAAAGGTTCGCTAAAAATATTTACACCAGCCCCTAAATTTCAAATACAATTTAAATTTACATCTTGTGAACCTATCTAAGTAAAATCAGCCTGTGAATAGGCCTTTTGATTATTAGGCACCCTAGCTTATTAATAAAGGAATCTTTGAACTTGGGCGACCTTAGTCTCAGCAACCAACTCTGGCGTCGTCGCCGGGTTTTATTCAACTATGCGCCGAGAGGCCACTGGTTGCGAGGCAGCTGGTTGTCGCTCACCAGCACCAAGTCACCAGGCTGCACGGAACGCGTGTCAGTTGTCTATTTTTGACGAGTTTGCAATAACGTGAGGTACTATATAGCGTCGCCATCTCGTCCACAACAAATCTGCCAGGTATTGTACCTGCTTCCAACGTTTCTTTGAGCAGGCGTCACTCTTGCAAAAAAAAGTCCGGATGGGGATGTCACGCCGGCATTCAAAAGAAGCAAGTGATAGGGAGTCAGCGCCTTAAGATCATCGGGATTGTCAGAGACTGGCGTCAGAGGACGGTTGTTAAGGATAGCCGCAACCTCGCACATCAACGTGCTGAATTCTTTGTCGTTAAATTTGAGAGGGTGCTCGTTTGTGAGGGCTGAATATTCTGCAAAGTAATTTTTGTTGCGCGTGAATTTTTTCTCAATTCTTTTGAATCTTTTGAGAGCTTTATCACGGTTGTTTGGAAATTTCGCATTGGTTTTCAAAGGCAAGTCGATGACGTAATGATTGTCGTCATCTATCTTCGAATTCGCGGTCACGATTTCTAGAAACATATCGTCCTCCACCGAGTTACAAACTGCGCTTTCACCAGTCGTGTCATAATCTTGAAACATTTCCTTGAAATTTTCGTTTATTTTATTCTCTTTGAAATTGATCTTCGTTAGATGAACGGACACCTTTCTAGTTTTAGGTGAAATCGGCCCATTCAGCGCCCATCCAAGCCAGTGCCGAGAGGCAAATGGCTCGTTCCATTCCCTGCTGACAGTTTGCAGAGTTTTTAATAAACCAGGCATGTCCATTCCAATCAATACTGAAACTTCCTCATCGAGGAAGCGAAAGGGTATCGAGTCCAGAAACGGAAGCCCTTCTAAATCTTCACGTCTTGGCAAGTCTTCTTTAGAAAATGGCCAGTCTCCTTCAGGCTTGGAATACAAAACGGGCACCGTCGCAGTCACCGTTTCATCCAGGTCGCAAATTTTCAAGTTATTAAGAATCAGTGCAGGAGTTTTCAAGTTCTTGCAAGCCATCGTTGTCAAATATAAATCTTGGTTCACGGTTTTTGCACCAAGCTTCTCTATCAAGCTCTCATTGATCCAACAATTGGTCGAGAATGGATCCAACGCAACATTGACCACAATCTTAATGTTGTTATCCAAACTTATTTTCGCCGGGATTACCGGGCATCTTACCTTCACACCCGGACAGGCACCAGCCCCAGTTGCGAATGAAAATCCTTGATGTCGCGTCTCTGCGCTTCCAACATCGGAAGCTGAGGGGAGTGAACCATTTGATCGCTGGACTGGTCCGTTAGATTCAACCGTCTCGTGCAGTACTGTGGGATGCTGCCGCCCGCACTTCGCACAGGTGAGGCGATTTCTGCAGTTCTTCGAGAGATGATTGGCTCTCAGACAGCCAAAACAGAGGCCTAACTTTTGCACGATGTTCATTTTTTCGGCTGTAGGCTTCTTCTTTAAAAAGAAACAGTTTGCCAGGTGATGATTATTTTTCTTGCAACAAGGACACATTATTTGAGAGGCTTCAGGATTTTCGTCAATCACTTTTGCGGCCTTTGTAGATAGTGACAGTTTCTTCAAGGCGCCGCTACCAGTATTCGCTTTCTTCTCTGCGTAGCCTTTAATGTCCGAGAAAATAGGCTGCTTGAGGATAGCCGACTCCTCTTGAACGAATGTCACTAAATGCTGGAATGTCACGTTCTCTGCATTCTTGGTCAACCTGTAAGTATAAGTTCGCCACCTCTCCCTTAGTTTGTATGGAAGCTTCGTAATGATGTTCATGATCTCCTTTGGGCTATTCAGGTGGTTAAGCGAAGACATATTCGACATATAATTGGAACACTTTGTAAGGAAGAGTGACAACTCGTCCAAAGCATCCGAATTGTCATAGTCAATTGAAGGCCAGTCATTCAAAATGTTCAGGAACGAGTAGGCATTTTTTAGCTCGTTTCCGTACTCTTCTTTCAAAAGCAGCTTGGCCTTCTTGTACCCTGCAGGCGCATCGTAATGATTGCAGCTGTCAACAAGTTTTCGGGCCTTACCTGCGGTGTACTGCCCCAAGTAGGCAAGCTTGTCGCTATCGTTAGTGCACGACTTCTCAAATAAATTCTCGAAGGCCGTTAAGAAAGTTTTAAAGACGGTCAGGTCAGATCCGTCGAAAACGTCGAGCTGACGCTTCGGGAGCACAGCCCGCTCATGACTCTCGGCCAACAGCTGAGTGAGCTCATTTTGCTTAGCAAGGGCCACCGCTAGTAAATCTCCAGCTGGCGACTGCCCTTGTTTAGGAGGATCAGCCGGTAGCGCATGAACAGCCGATGTCTCTAACCTCGAAGATTCGTGATGTGAGCGCTCACCGCCTTCTACGTTTTTTAATTCTTCTTCCAATATTTCAGTCTCAAGTTCAACTTTCCTTATTTCTGCTTCCCGCATTCTTTGTTTCAAAATCAAACGTTCTCTTGCTATTCTTGCCTGGAGTTCTTGCTCCTTACGCTGTAATTCCATTTCTTCTTGCTCGAGCTCAATAGTTTCTTTCAACGAACTCTTCTCTGCCATCAGTTTTGCCTTCTGTTGTGCTAAGGCAACACGTGCTGATGTGACGGAGGACCCAGACGCCCCGGACGAAGACGCCTTAGAAGAAGACACCCGACTGGCGTGTGAACGTACGTCTGACGTAGTTTTGACGTCATGGCTCGGGACGAGGAGTTTCTCGACATTACTTCTAAATTGACTTATGTCAGTCAGAATAGGTTCGAGCCACACTTCCAAACCGTCCTGCCTGCAATCTTCCTTTTCTCTCAGTTCATTGCAAGCTTCGAGAAGACGTTCCACTTTTACCAGGTATACGTTGAAAAGCACTTTAATTTTTTCTATGTTGGTCTCAGGGCTATGCAAAAGTTCCTCGATCTCATGCTTCTTTCGAGTAACTACACCAAGAGGACCTGACGGGAATTCTCTGGTACGTGTCGAGTCTGATTTGGCAGCCGAAGTCATTTCAGGAAACAAAACCTGAATGGTTGCCAATATTTCGATACTGTAAAAACGCTTTCCGTTTTTGAGTTTGGGTTGCCGTAAGTCCGCGTTCAGGTTTTAGGATAACCACGGTTTCAACAACAAATTTCCTTTTTATACTAAAGGTCGGATAAACAAGTAAATCATAGCAGCGCATAAAAAATAGACTATTAAAAACTAAGCTAACAAAAGGTTCGCTAAAAATATTTACACCTAGACAAATGTTTTCACTCATATTACTTCGAAAAATATTTTTTTCTGGTAACTCTATCGCTAGTGTTCCTTCCTCGGCAAAAAGAATATTTTATTGAATCAGAACACTTCATTATTCAAAGGAAGTAGAATATTCTTCAAATAAATGAGGGAATGTAATAGCATAAGATATTATTTCAACATCTGTTCATTTTTACGTATAATTTAGCTGAGCCACATGGCTGAAAATGTTTTTCAGTTGCGCTGTGGAAAAGTTGACCATCTTTTTAAAAGATACTAAGGATACACCATGCATGTCATCAACTGCGTTGCTTGATATTATTGTTACCCTGGGCTCGCACTTATTAACAAAAAATTTCCCTTTTTGGGTGGGAGGTAGTTATTCTTTGTGAGTAATACATGGTACTCTTACTTTATGGACAATTATTTGTCTATCAAACCATCTCACGAAAAATTCAAGAATCGGCAACCCGCCATGGGCCTATTTCTTCAATGCCGACACTTCTATTCTATCTCGTCCGTAGTAGATGAGGATAGCAAAGTTATGTTATAAGCTCTTCCACCATTGATCGACCTTCAACCGCAAAAAAATTGATAGCGCCCTTGTAACTGCACAGTTACAGCACAGCTCTCAGCTTCAAGGACATCATATGTCTGTAAGCCGCACATGAAGCAGTTGTACCCCTGCCGGTGTTCATTGCGAACTGTGGACAGTGTAAAAAAAACTCTGACGCAATTTAATGACACGAAGTTTCAATTTTATAAACTTTCATATATTACTCAATTTTGTGGGATGATACAAAGCGAAGAAAGAGAAATGAACCGTAAGAACGCGACGTTAAGGAATTAGAAAGTTTGTCGGAACTGGCTTCTATAGTCTGTCATTGCCACAATGAGCGATAGTCATGATCTCGCTATTGCGATAATATGCGTATTATCAAACGATTTGTACGACACAGACAAAAGCATTAAGCGCAATTGACAAAGGGACTGCCGACTGCCGAGACTTGAGAGCACAATTCGTAGCCATTGCATAACTTTGGGGAAAACTGTTGAACGAAACCCGTTTATAAAATAAGCACTAATTAGCTTATTAGTTTCAGAACGGTTCTCTTCTTTCAACTATTTATATGCGAAATATTTCATGATCAACATGTTTATTGAGATAAGTCTTCTTCTTCTGCTTCTAGCAATACTTGCAATTTACTCTAAGAAACCTAAACGGATGCCTCCAGGTGAGAATATTTTTGGTTTCTTGGTACTATCATGAACAAAGTGCAATGTTTATATTTTTCACGTATTTTTGAACTTCGATCGAAAGAGCTACAAAAAAAAGCTACCAAAATTTGCACGTAAATATTTTTCTCGGAGATTGTCTGCATCGATCAAGTGAGATTGCCATTCAGAAGGTGATACTGGGAGACTGGGTTGGTCGTTTCATACGTTGAAACAGTGTTTTGATATTCGTCCTTTCCAGGATCATTCGGATGGCCCATTGTGGGAGAGTTGCCCCCATCTGGTCTTTCCCCTACGGAACATCTGATGAATCTTAGAAGGAAACTTGGCAAAATTTTCACGTGAGTTTCTGTCAAACATTCCGAAGAATTTGCAATGCTGCAGCAATTGCCGGTCGATAATTTTGCTTTCGCGATCGTGGCCCCATTTTCAAGCACGTGCACAGCAAATTAATTTATAGTTTAATCAAACGCAAACCTCGTGTAGGTCAAGCTAAGTTTGTTGAATTTAATTTGGGGTTTTATTCAGGTTTCTGAGCTTTTTTTCTGCTGGAATGGTAGATAAACGCTGCCTCGCATGTCTAATTACTGAATTTGCGCAAACAATATATTGCAAACAATTTTGCTACAGTTGTATTTCGCTCATGAACAATAATAAAGAGAGGACTCGTTTCAGTCTAAAATTGTTAGGACAATCTTCAATTAGGTCCTGGCTGTGATTGTGCCGTTTGGTCTCGGACTGTAAAGATTTTAGTGCATATTCGATTGCTCAGCAACGAAATTGGAATATTATTTTCATATCCTTACTGTTACTAGAAACGCTGAAAACCAATCGCGATGAATATTTATCAAACTTTCTATTATGTTTTATATGAAAATTGATCAGAGAATTTATATCCTTTTAATAAATACGTAGTTGTAAATCAGTCAGGAGTGAGCGGTAATTCGTTTGACATTTTAACATTACCATTTGCCAATTACAAACAACCCTACTCTATCAGAACGAAGTGGGGTTCTCATCGCATCGTGGTCGTCACCGACTACAACCTCATCAAGAAGGCGTTCAACCATCCCGACATCCAGGGACGTCCGGCATTCGTCTCTTTTGATACACTCTGCCATTTCAGAAATATTGGTGAATTTTTCTTCCACTCTGTTTACCAGCTGCACTATTACAGTCACGAGGTTCGTATTGAAGATAAGTTCCTTAAACTGTATTGTTAGGTCACGCTTGTTTTTTCTCACACAGGATTTTGGTAGGACGATGAAAACTATGTTATTGAATCAATAACTGTACTAATTGGCAAGCTTAGAATCTATTCCTGCATTCATCTAACGGCAGTACGAGAAACCATATTAATTGCAATACAGATTGGAAGCAGCCTACATTTGAAAGGACTTCGAATTCAATTTATGAACGAGTTGTTGTCCATGACAGGTATCATAAACAGCCATGGTTCAGTGTGGGCCGAGAACCGTCGGTTCATGTTGCGCCACTTGCGTGATCTCGGGATGGGCAAAACAGCGCTCGAGGGCTCCATTCAACAAGAGGCCGAGATGCTGGTGGATCACTTGGATAAAACCTGCGTCGGCAAGCCTGCCGTCATGGATCTATTTCTTAACTGTGCTGTATTCAACGTTATCTGGCAAATGCTCGCTAGTACGGTCTAGTTCTGGCGAAACTTTATCCATAAAATTTCTAACTTAAGTATGGAAATTTATTGAAAAATTTTAATGTACACATTTTCATAATTTAGTATGAAAGGAGAGAATGATGCGGCACAAACAATTTGAATCAAACAGCTATTCTAAAACTCGATGGAACAATGATGCAAATGTTGTGTGATGGCTTTTGTGTAATTCCTATATGGTATTTATATAACCTGCAAGCAGGTTAGTCCGAAGTTACCCGGTATAGATAATCATACTCACTCTAATTTAAAAATCCCGTCATCCCAATATCCTGAACTCCGTCGTTCAGAATCTCGTCGTTTAGAATCCATTTCTTCGGATCGGGTCATCCAATTCCCGTCATTTAGCATTCCGTCATTCTTAATTTCCTTTCCCCAAATCCGTTAAATTAATTCGAAAAACTTGCTAAAAAAAACCATATCCCAACCCAGATTTCGAACGAAACACCCATTCAACTACCGTTTTTACAAATTAAAATGAAATTAAACGTACATTTTGCATTTAGATGAAACTTACATTTTGTACATTTTAAATGAACGGATTAAGAAAGGAGGACAATTAATGATAGTTAGGGAATTATAGATAAATAAGAAGGTGAGAAACGAGGTTTTAGTTTCGGAAACGCAAAACTTTTATTAGCCAATGTGACAACATTATTTTAAAACTTGCGTAAAAATTTAATCTAGGATCCTTCAAGTATTATCTGCCTGGCAAGCAGATGCTCCACAATGCAAATAAAAGCTGGAGCAAATCAATATCGTCGAAGTTTAGGTGATCGCATTTATAACGTGTCTTTTCCTTGCAGGCAAACGATATGATGCCGATCATGAAGAAATGTTGAGGCATATTTCTTTACTTCAAGAGAATTTCAATGCGATTCAAGGGACATTCTTTCTGATCGACTTATTTCCTTGGCTGGCAAAGATATTGCCGAAAATAATCATGAACAAAGTGTTCAAAGCTGATGTCATCATAAAGAATCGAGATAAAATCCAGTTGTTGTTCAAGGTATTTAAAAGCAAAGAAAACAGCCAGAATATTAACCATTTCTTAAGAATGAAAACGTTTCGGAGTCCAGCTCCATCGTCAGTTCAAAAGTTCAAAACCTATAAGAAAATAAGAATCAATTAGAAAACTAAATTCACATCGAAGATAAAAACATAAATTGACAAAATAAAAACAAATACACATAAGGAGATCTAATGAGACAATGAGCAATAACCGAAACCTGCGGCTGGTAATTAGCTATGTAGCCGATGACGTGGCGCTGCGGACCAATGAAGATTGGCCGCTGTTGCCACGCCTGATGAATTTTCCCTACAATTAAGCAGTAGTTCGAGCGGTGACATGATCTGGTCACTGAAAGTAGCGTAAAGCTACTGAAAGTAGCGTAAAGCTAAACTGTTCATTGTCTTAGGTCGTCCAGTTTTGTCCGCCGAACCATCAGTATTAACCCATCAGCCGAACCATCAGTAACCGTAAGGAATGAAATTCAATGTCCTGAATTATATTTGTAATACGATAACAATCATGGCCTCTATCTAAGATTTAATACTTAATATAATTTTACAACATGTTAATTAGTAAATTTCAACATTCAATTAAATTACAGTAATTAAACTGTCAAGACAAAATATCACGTCTAGATATAAATGTTGTTCTAAACTGGCTACAGGCAGATCTAAATGAAATCACTCGTAGTGAGATAAAGTCAATACTCAATCCTGCACAAATCATCTATAAATAGCGTTAGTTGGATTTAAGGGAGTTGTTGCATCGAAGCAGTTTGAGTCAATTAATTTTTTGCTAAAAGCTAACGGCTTCAGGTTAAAGCAGCACACGATAGCCTCGTGCGCGATGTTTCAGACCTTCTTTCAACACATGATGTTTTACAAGTGTTTCCTAAACGTACGCCGCGATCTAGATTATGGGCATTCCAAACTTCAAAAATATAAAAATATTAATTTTCTCCAATTGTTTACTCGCGAATCGCAATATCTGCTGAGCTGAAACATTGATTTAGAGTTGGCGGAGGTCCGAGTGCGGCAACCAATCTGAGCGTCAACGATGAAGTGGAGGCTCAAAGCTCCATGGCATGGCAGCTTGCGAGTCGTTGACGTTCTGAGCGGCCGAATGACCAATATTATGCGTTTAATAATTACTTTTTAAAGACAACGCTTACAAAGAATCCAGTGTCTCTGATGTTACACATATACAATGAATTTCTAATATTATTTCCAAATATTAAAAAAATTAATTATTAAATTTTTTTAGCATATAAAAAATTATATTTTCGAAATATTTATTCTGTCAATTGCTTCATGCATTATAATTGTCTTCGATTTTACGCAAGCGTGCAAAATTTCAGATCGATTATACAGGCAGAAGTGTGTTAAATGTCGATTATAAGATTTGTAGCAGACAAAATTATTTTTCAATTTTTTAATATTAAAAAAGTTTATGTTTTTTGAAATTATTTATTTTGTCAATTGATTCATGCAATGTCTTCAACTTTACGCTAGTGTGCAAAATTACAGATCGATTGGAGAGGTAGAAGTGCGTTAAATATCGATAATAAAACTTATGGCAGACAAGCAAACAGCAAGAAGCGAAGTTAAAGAGAAGTATTGTAAAGAAAAGCCTTCCCTGCAGGTTCAACCGAAAAACATCAACTAATTTATTGAATTATGCAAACTACGTAGGTTAAATCGACACGGCAACAATTTTTTTGATACGAGACCGGAGGCAGATAAATAAATTTGAGGGATTTGTCGACAAACAATTCCGCAGGATTTGACATGCAATTTTCATGAACATTTTTTGAAATGAAAATCTTTTTCATTTGTAACGCAATGGAAACTTGACTCATTTTCAGTGGCTCATGAAGACTTGGTTGAAGCGTTCAGACCATCGGGCACTTGACCTCAGCGGGCGCTTCTTGACAGGCTTACCTGTGAGAAACAATGACATTAATAAATATTAATGATGATAAAAAATGAAAAATTAAAGTATTTTGCGTATATACGAAAATATTTTCTAAACGAGGGCCGACATGAAACATGAATGGAGTTGAAATATGGTGGTGCTTGAAAGTACGTAGAGCGAAATGCTGAGAAATAATGAATGCCGGCTTGTGAAGACATATGAAGCAAGCACAATACTCGAATAAATGGTCAGAGATCATAAATTTTTGGAATTGTTAGACTGACTTCGTGAACTTTTCTTCAAAATTGTGGCAAATCTCTCATAAATACGAATAAAAAGAATGCAGCTAAATTAGGTCGAATGAATATGAATGAATGAATTAGAATGAATAATACAGCGTCGTTCCAACTGTATCAGTTTCAGATTGAGTTACGCCCAATTATTCAGTTATTTTCTGTGTCAATTGAATTCAGAACACAATGAAGTTCAATGAAAGGCTCCACTGTCATGGATGGTTATTTTTCCGCGTTTTGGAGCATGGTAAGCAAAATATCCTGGCTCGTCGAGTGACTGATTCCATCACGTTGATAACACTAAATCTGATATGTGGTCAACACCCTCTAATATTCTCAATAAGTATGATTTCAGTCATCAGCGAAAACAGATCATTGTGAATTCGTCTAAAAAATTACAAGAGTAGCCCATTGAAATGAGAAATGTTTTCTCGGTGGCAGTGCCTCTATTCCTACCGTGTGGCAGCTGCTCCGGAGGACCGGCCAAGATGATGATTTTCTTCGGAATTTTCTTGACGGGAGCGACGGACTTGGTGACGCCCTCCGAGACGTCGTAGCAGCGCGGCCACACCAGGATCAGGAACACGTCGAATAAGTAGTAGACCACGTCGAAGAAGGTGATCAGCGACACTCCCACGAAGCCTAAGTTGCCGCCCAAGTTTGCGATCAGAGTTGTCCACTGTCAACGCAAAGGATTTAAGCATGAGTCAGAGCGAAAATTGTTAGGAATCGGATGACTTCATGCCTACATATATTGTTAACAAATGTACGTTATGATTCGCACACTTGCTACAAACAATAAATTCATCTCTATCAAAATATTCTTAATAGGAATACCAAAGTTGCAAGTTGGTTGTGGTTGTTTGCAACTTTATGGTTGTTGAAAATAAAATGGGCTCAGACAGAGATGCTTATTTGCTTCAATAGAAGGAATTTAAAAGCAAAGAAAACAGCCAGAATAATGACCATTTCTTAAGAATGAAAACGTTTCGGAGTCCAGCTCCATCGTCAGTTCAGAAGTTCAAAACCTATAAGAAAAGAAGAATCAAATGGAAAACTAAATTCACATCGAAGATAAAAAACATAAATTGACAAAATATAAACAAATACACATAAGGAGACAGGCCTATCTATTTACAATTTCAAGGGTATAGGAGCTGAAGGCTGCATTTAAACTAGGTTTCTGTTTAAAAATATACAGAGATTCTAAAATCCGTAGGTCAGTAACACCGGTCGTGCAGGCTAGAACTCTAAAATCACTATCGAACACCGGAACATTGCACTGCTCGGTATGGACGCGCACAGCTGAATGAGGAGGATGCGCAAGTAATGTTCCCGTTCTAAAACTTCTGCGCTTATGCTCCGTCAGCCTAGTGCAAAAATTGCGAGACGTCATACCGACGTACACTGATGCGCACTGCGCACAACTGTATCTATATACCAGGGACGAAAGCATGAAAAGAGGGAGAGCATTTTTATACATGAAGAACGAACCAATTTTGAAGTTATTGACCAATATTACCTACAGATTTACATTCGGAAGATATTTATTCATCAAATCTTTCAATTTCTGTTTTTAAATTGGACTTCTATAAATACTTTTTAGCCTTTGAAAGACTTGCTCTTACTTTAAAAAATGTTTCTATTACCAATCGTCCTGAATTTCTTGGCAACTTGCAAAGCCTAGCTTACCGTCATTTTTACGCTTTCAAAGCTTGTACAATTTTCTTCACTTTTTTCCAACCCCGTGACACCCATTTGATGAAGTACTTGGCCAAAAATAAGGACCTATAATCATTTGTAAGCCAGATAAGGGCAAGGGAGTCGTATTGGTTGACCGCAATCGTTACAACAGTCGCCTTTTTGCTCTCATTACAGACCCTTCTAAATTTATCGAAATTACAGATCCAATTGCTAAAACTATTTTGAAGATTGAGGATAAAATTAATAATTTTTTGAGAAAACTTAAAGATTCCGCTGCACTTTCTTCTGAAACTTATTTGAAACTTTATGCATCTGGCTCTTGCCCAGGTATTTTGTATGGCTTGCCTAAGATTCATAAGCCAGATTTCGCTACAAAATTTCAGTTTCGACCCATTTTTGCTGCTTACAACACTCCGAGTTTCAAGCTTGCTAAATTTTTGGTCCCAGTGTTGAACTGTTTGACAACCAACCAACATACGGTAGACAATTCGTACGTGTTCGTAGACCGCTTGAAGAGTTTCACCCATGTCCAGGATCTGACTATGGCTTCATTTGATGTCGAGAATTTGTTTACAAATATACCTCTCCATGAAACTATTGATAAATCTCTTCTTGAATTATCTGTTTTAAACTCGTGTTTTGTATTTGCCGGCAAATTTTATAGACAAATTGACGGCTTGGGCATGGGTCTACCACTAAGTCCTACTTTTGCTAATATTTTTATGTGTTTTCACGCGACTAAATGGCTGGCCAGTTGTCCTCTTGATTTTAAACCTGTTTTTTATAACCGATTTGTCGATACTTTTTTACTTCTCAAGCATCCCTCTCATGTGGCCCTTTTCATTGATTATCTAACCCTCCAACATCAGTCAATAAAATTCACCATGGAGCTTAAAACCAACAATAGTTTATCTTTTCTCGATTGTAATGTTACAAAAGCTAATGGTCGTTTCCAGACCTCTGTGTTCAGAAAGTTAACGTTTACCGGTTTAAGCACCAACTTTTTTAGTTTTTGCTCATTTCGTTTTAAATTAAATGGGATTAAAACATTATTAAATCGTGGCTTTCGTATTTGTTCAACTTTCAATGCTATATGCACACTAAATTTGAAGTTTTGCGCAGCATCTTTTCTTTAAATGGGTTTCCGTCGCAATTGATTTATACTCAAATTAAGAAATTCATGTCAAGGCAATATAATGAAGTTGTTCCCGATTGTGACAGTTCACCTGATTTCTTGTTCTTTTCCCTACTTCGGTAAAGCATCTGAGACTATGGCTAATTGAAAGATTTGATCGATAAATATCTTCCGAATGTAAATTTGCAGGTGATATTGGTGAATAACTTGAAAATTGGTTCGTTCTTCATGTATAAAAATGCTCTCCCTCTTTTCATGCGTTCGTCCCTCTTTTCATGCGTCCCCTGGTTGTGCGCAGTGCGCATCAGCGTACGTCGGTATGACGTCTCGCAATTTTTACACTAGGCTGGCGGAGCATAAGAGCAGAAGTTTTAGAACGGGAACATTACTTGCGCA